GGAAGTGGATGCTGAAACCAGACAGGTTGGCCAAGTGCGTTTCTCTTCGGTCATTGTTCTGTATCAAAAACCTTAGACTCACAAGCCAGGATCCGCTCGGCTTGTTCTTTTGCCTCTTTCAGGGCGACATCGTCTGATAATGTAAGAACGGTCCAGTCAGTGAGAGACAAGTAACAAGTTATACAGTGGAACGTACCTGATACCAGGTTGTCCGTGTCTTCATCAGCGAGATCGACGTCATCTAGAACCAGCTCATCTGATACCCCATTCCCATTGGCTGCTTGGAGCTCTTGTTGACATTTCTTGAGAAGACTAGAGATGAGCTCTTCGGGAAGACCTTTCTTGATATCTTCCACCTTGGCAGCGTTGGCGACCACGGTCGCATAGGTGGCTGATAGCGTAGTCAGTCAACAGGAAGTCTGTCTGACACTATCCGAGTAGAATAACTTACCCTCGGCACTAGTCTCCCAGAACTCCTGATCCTGGAACCGAGCGTATCTGAGTTTGATCGCGTTGAAACGTGTTTTCTGCGCGACTCGGACTTTTCGAGAGCCATGTATGCATCGAGTGAAGGGGTTATCTTCAGCATCGCCTTGAACTGGTGGAGCAAACAGAGGCAATATTGAGTCTGTCAGCTCATAGAGGCAGCGCCGAGGGAGTGCTTCTCGCGCAATTCAGTCTTACCGGTTCCTCGCTCTTCCAGTCATCAGTCTCATTGACGATGGATTGCTGTATAAGGGAGATGCCAGCTTGATACAACCTCGATCGAGCATCGATGGCAATGATCTCAGGTATAGTCATTTGCTTGTCGTTGACCGGTTTGAGAGGCCTAATGGTGAACGCTGTCAGCCTCAGGCACAATATTGTCTATTCGCTAGGTACTTGCCTGATCAAGTGCAGAGGAAGCCTACTATCCCCCTGATCATCCGACCTTTCCTCCCCAGTGATAGCTGCCCCCGCATCCATGGTGTCCCTGGAAGTGTCGTAGAAGCGCTCCAGAACGGTAGAGTTGGGGCTGTGCCCAAGCAACAACCGGGCCCTGTCATAGCCAAAGGCTTTGATAAATCTGGTGGCTGTTCCACGCCTTATGCTGCTGAGACCAAGGATATGACCTTCCGAACCTGATAGCCATCCGACATCAGTATGTGCTCGGAAAACCAGACACTGCATGACTCACGTGGGAGATATACAGCTCTAGCAAGCCTGTTGAAGGCGTCCCGAGCGGAGGAATAACTCATCACACCGTTAAGGTCGAGACCGTAACCTCTTGCAGCTGTTCGGTAGAAGACCGGTCGACTTGCGAACCCTGGAGCGTACGCGAGCACTCTTCGCTGATCTCGGTAAAGGTCGTCTAATGTCTTGCCGGGACCGAAGACTCCTTGTCTCAGTCCGTGGGCAACAAACCAAGAACCCATATCGAAGATGAGGTTCGCTTCGCTCTTGACGGTCGATATGAAGATATAGATCGGCTTGCCTGGTTTGGAAGTTGATGATCCAAGACTAGCTCCTTTAAAGCTCCTCAGGCAAAGTCGAACGTCGAATCCGACCGTTTTCCCACCGATTCTTCGAGGCTTGATCTCAATGTCCCTCCAAATCAGGAAGAACTTGGTTCGGTCGGTAGGGATGAATGTACTTGGCCTTCCACCGCTGTGTAGGAGTGCGACGAGGAAAGTAGCGAACTGTACGGCCACATCCGCATCAATTCCTTCCTTCAATAGCTTCTGGATAAGGAGAGCTATCTCTACTGAACCAATCGACAGCTTTTCTCTGCTCTCAGCGTTGAGGCCGTACTCTTCGCAAATCGCTTGGGCATACTACAGGGCAAACATTTGTCTGGTCAACAGCTTGCACGACTTGCCCAATAGAGCTGGTGATCGGATATTACCTTTTCCAAATCATCCTCGAAAGCCTTGACGTCTTCTGCTCTCGGAGCATGTGGCGCATCCATGGGAACTACCTGAAAAGACATGATGGTCAGCTATGATACACTCAAGTGAGTGTTCAGAGTAAAACACCGACAATTTGCAACGCCGCCTTATGAGCCGAAAGATTGCTCGCTCGAAAGTACGTCACCTGCTCTTGGCCATTGTTATCTTTCTTGACTTTTTTAGAGGCTTCCGTCAGCTCCAAGAGCACCCTTTTTGCTATTCTTGTCCATGTCGACCAAGAGAATCCGCTCGATATACCCAGAGCAATCCGTGTCTCGTTGAACTTCTTGTACATATGTACTCGTCTCGCTGTCGTCGATACCGCAACTGTCTGATTGTATACAGCGGCGATGTCTAGTCTTCGTTCAAGCTGTTCGGTGATGCTGGCGCGAACATCCTCAGCAGTTCGTGTTGCAAAGCGTGATTTGGTCTGAAGGGGAGCACTCTCATCGAACTCTTGATCGTCCACGACGAACTGATGTCGTCCAGCCGCTTCGGGGCGGTCTGCTTCGACCCCTGGCATGGCAGTTGCGGTTGGAATGAAGAGATTACGAGCAGGTTACCAGTGTATTATAGGAGGGAGATGAGCGTAGACTCGAGGGGTGGCTAGTGAGCGATGACGATCAGTGTATGACGAGTAGGGGAGAATCAGGTGATGAACGTATGACGAGTGGGCTGCGAATGTTAGCGATGCTGGAAGGAGGCACAAAGAAGACGTGTGAGCGAGGGGCACTTTCAGCGTTGTTCAACCATGTATTATACACTGGATCGACAACCATGACCGTCAATCGATGATCATGACCGTCAATCGACAACCATGACCGTCAATCGATGTTCATGATCGTCAATCGACAGTGGTGAGCGTGAGTCAACAGCGGTGACCGTGGCTCGACAGCCATGTATAAACGACCATGAATCTATGGCATGATCGACTGTATAGCTAGCCCGCCACTCGCTTATCGCCCAATCGACTTCCTGACTATACAGTCAAGCAGCTGACGAGATAAAATACCACTTGCGAGAAGATAACGGCGGTTCTCGATAGACGAATGAGAACTCGTGAAGTGCGGTCAGCCGCAGGTGACCCGCTTGCTTACGGGCAACCTTCGGTAAATTGTGTGTACAGGTTGGAGGTGGATTGGGCGTTGAACAGGACTTCGTGTCGTCGAAGACGAAGAGATGATGAGAAAATGACAACGATACGATTGAGTGGATTGTTGAGTTACACTGATGACAATACTGTGTATACTGTGTGTGTATCTGATTACAGTCCGACCAGTTTGATCCCGTCCTGTTCTCGCTTTTAGAGGCCGCCTACTGAGTCACCTGATCCTCTCACATATGGGGGCATCGAGCATATAATCGGGGAATGCATGAGTGCCAGCAAGTGCCAGGCTATCTGGGTCATTGTACTGTATCAACACACCAAGCCACGTGTTCGAGGGCTTTTACTATATACAACTAAGTCAATGCTCTATGTTACAGATAACTCATCACGGCGATACCAATACTGTCACACACCAGGCTAGCAACTCTCTGTTTCGCCCTTTCCACTGATTTCATTCCAGATCTGGTTAATCTGATCTTCGTGCCTCCTGAACTGCCCAGAGTACGTGTCCAAAGAATCAAGGACAAACGCAGACAGATTGAAACTACCGGTCCTCCTGCAAGTCAGCCAAGACCCAGTGATTGATGTGATACAGAGGCTAATTCTCTAACCTTGTTTTGATCGACTCCTCGTCTCGTGGTGCGGGTGCACCGTCTTGAGCTGTACGCGCTGTGGCCAGGGCTTCTCGGAGGTTCCTCATTGAGGACAGAGCTAGCTGTACCTGTCCCACCCAATGTGTTCTTACATCAAGCTTCAGTCGATACGCTTCCAAGAGAATGAGCATCTCGTCTGGATCCAGAGTGTGGTTAGGATCACCAGCAAGCGCTCTGTACAAGGCAGTTTGCGGATCGTACTTCGTAGTCTGGGTACATGGGTTCCCTTTTCGTTCAGCATTGATCGCATATAAACTGTGAAGTCCATTCATTGAAAGGACGCCCACTCACAGCTCTCACCGCATCAGACCGCCCTCGTTGACTCTTGGTAGTGTATGAGACACGAGGGGCCATCGTGGGCTTAGGAGAAGGCTTAGGCGACTGACCTGGTGCGCGCGCCGCAGATTTCGCCGAAGGAGGATGAGAGAAGCTTCGGTCGGCATGCGAAGATGGTGCAGGGGTGAGAGAGATCTGTCGAAGCAATGACCAGTCGGCGGCTGCGAGCCAGTCTGATGAGCCCTGTCCACTCACTGATCTACTGGTCTCCCTATCCTTTCGAGCTTTCAAGTGCTGCTCCAACAACTCGATCTTCTCTTCTGGGCTTCGCTCGGAGACAGCCAGACTTTCTGATCGGAATGCGCGTTCGGGCACAGGAGGGGGGCTCATCCCGCTGCAGCTCGGCATCATTGGTATCAGCAGCATTGCCAGGCTCACACACATGAAAGACTGCTCACCCTGAGACTTGAGTTGAACGGCTTGACCCAGCAACGGCATTCACGCCTGAACTAGACGTTAGCGATTAAACCTCACCCAGCTGCGAGCATCGCTCACCAGCATTCCATCCGGTACCTTCCCTCGATCTTGATCGGGTGAGCACCGTTGGCTGTTTGTAGGGAGGGGGAGCGGGCGGACTCTTCCGCTTCTTGCCGTCACCGCCCGAACCAATACGCGCAGTTCCCTTCTTCGGCGTCGAAACTTTCGGCATTGTCGATAACTAATCGGCGCTTATCAGCGCTGAGTCCTGCTAATTACGTGGACAGATATATGCCGAGATAGGATGAGTTGAGCACCAAATAGGGAGATAATGACCCTTGACACATGACAAGTAACCGAGGTGAGGTGAATCCCCTAGGGGGACTTAGGGCTGTTTTCAACAGAAGAAGACTAGTCACCCTGAAACCCCGTGGCATACGTGCTCTTTGTTAAGCGCAGTTCTCGGGAATATCACCATGTGGCAGAAAGCTGTAGGGTGCCCTCGCGAGGTTGCCCAAAGGCACAAAGCAAAAAGCGAAAACCAAAAGCCCAAAAAACTTTCCTGGAAGAGGTTTGAACTCTCGACCGGCGTGATTACGGTCTTAAACCGTCGGCGTTTAAAATAGGCAACCTCATAAGCACGCAACTCTAAACCACTGAGCTACCAGGAACTGGGATCACCAAAAACGCCGTTCTGCTCAACCATGATCAAAAATTTTTGGCACTTGACCCTTGGGAGATAACGAGACCGAGAGGAATTCCGGCATTCGGTTCCTTTGATCTCTTTTTGTCTGAACTGGATCGTTTCCTCTTCGTTACACCTCATTTACACGACAAAGCTCGGGCTCATGATGTCTTTTTCACTTGCCCGATGTCGGTGCTGTAAGGGCGTGCAGCATCGATTACCACGATTATCGACTTCGATACGCAAGATATACACAGCTTCGGTACTTTACAATGAACAGGCATCAGGAGGTGGAGGTTTCAAGCTTCCTTCGAGGGATTGGTCTCGGCCGCCTGCTGCGAGTCCTCGGGAAGAAAGGAATGAGGGTGGAAATAGAAGAGGATCTGGAGATAATAGGGGACCTCGACGGGGCGGTGCTGGTAATGAGCGTCGAGGTGAGCTGTGATGCACTGCTGGATCAGCATCTCGCACTGGAGCTGGTAGCTGACACGAAACTCTGTTTCACAGACTCCAACGGCGGACCTAGCAATCGTAGGCAGGGTTCAGGTCAATCCAGCAGAGATCGGAAGATTCCCGACTCGCTCGATCAAGGACTTTCGAAATGGGGTCTTCCCAACGATCGCCCGCCGCCCATAAGCGGCCATCGAAATCCCGGCCCATCCCTCGCATCCGGCTTTGGTCTTAAATCAGGCAAAGAAAAGAAGGGTGGACAGTCAGATATCATTGATCGGACTAGAAAAACGGACAGGAGAAGCCCTGATAGACTCAATGCCAAAGGTCCGTCTGCTTTCGGAGATCTGCTCGGAGGAGGAGGAGGAGGAGGAGGAGGAGTTTCAACGAGGAATCACAGTCCGCCTGGTCGGTTGAACTTGAGTGGGAAGTTTGGAGACAAGCCAAAGGTAGACGAAGGCGAGAATTCCATACATGCAGAAAAGACACCGCTATATGAGGGTGAGACAGGGCTTGCGGATGGTGAAGCTGGGTTCGAAGAAAGACGGGGTCACAGCTCACGAGATAGGAGAGGTGGAAACCGGAGAGATTCGGGTGGTTCGCTACTCGCCCGTCTGAGGGATCAAGATGAAGCCTCGCTACCTTCCCGAGGTCACCACAAGCGGGATCGAGTTCATCACTTGCCTAATACCACCAACGGCTCTTCTTCGTCGACTACTCCTACCGCCGCGCGGAAGCCAAAAGGACCCAAACCGAAGGTGGTCGAAGAGGAGAAAGAGGTCTATATACCCCGAACAGTCAGCACAGCCAACCTGGCCAAGATATTCGGCGTCAAGTTATTCCACTTGCAGACCCGGATGATGAGATTGGATATGTCAGAGGATCAGAGGAGGTCGGATTACTTGCTTAATGCGGAGCAGGCTTGTGATATCGCTATTGAATATGGGTTTAATCCGGTCGTGGACGACGAAGCGAGTTTTGACATCTACCCAGAGTGAGTCGAGGCTCTTGTCGCAGCTTCCTTGCTGTACGGGGTTGCTGACTGCTAACTACGCTTCGACATTCAGCCCTGAGCCCGCGGACATGAGCTCGCAGCCACTGCGCCCGCCTGTGTGAGTCGACCTAGTTCAGATACCAATAAAGTTATGGCTAACACCGTGCCCCATATCTGATAGTGTCACCATCATGGTGAGCTTCTCAAGCATCGCGAAACCCGATCGAATGTCCACACATGTCTTTATAATCAATATATATATATATATATATATATATATATATAGCTATCATAGAGAGGCGCTGACATCTTGCATCACAGGGTCACGTCGACCACGGCAAGACCACCCTACTCGACTCTCTTCGACATACTTCCGTTGCAGCGTCCGAGGCGGGCGGTATCACCCAGCACATTGGAGCCTTCTCTGTTCCCCTCTCATCGCTCCTTCCCTCAGCGGCATCCACCCCCACGTCCTCGGCAGCCACCATCACTTTCCTCGACACCCCCGGACATGCCGCTTTCACAGCCATGCGAGCGCGAGGAACTTCCGTTACGGATATCGTCGTGCTAGTAGTAGCGGCCGATGATGGTGTCATGCCGCAAACAAAAGAAGTCATCGAACTTGTGAAGAGTGAAGGCGACAAAGTAGGGATGGTGGTAGCGATCAACAAGTGCGATAAACCGGGCATCGACTTGAATAAAGTCAAGAGTGCGTTGGGCGCCGAAGGGGTGCACCTGGAAGAGGACGGAGGAGATACGCCTAGCGTCAAAGTTTCTGGTCTGACCAAGCTTGGGCTTGATGACCTCGTGGAGACATTGTCCACTCTGGCTGAGATCAGGGATCTCCGGGCAAGAAAGGAGGGCAAGGCGGAAGGTTATGTGCTCGAGTCACGAGTTGACAAGGGTCGGGGGTGAGTTCACCGTCAGACTCCCACAATCGCAGAGGCCGTATCCTGTCCAACTCGATATCCAAACCAATTGACGACTTCCACGTACTCGCAGGAACGTTGCTACTGTACTCGTGAGCAAAGGGACACTTCGCACCGGCGCTTCCATCGTTGCCGGTCAGACATGGTGTCGAGTCCGCCAGATGCAAGACGATAAGGGCAAAGCCATCCGCGAGGCATTGCCAGGCACTCCCGTCTCCATTACAGGATGGAAAGAGCTCCCTTCCGCCGGCGACGAGTTGTTGGAAGCCGTCAAGGGCGAGGATGAGGCCAAGAAGGCCGTGAACAATCGAAAGCGCGATGAGGAGAGGAAGAAACTCATGGCGGATGTGGAGCAGATCAACGCCAAGAGAAGGGAAGAGCGACTCAGGCTTGAAGCTGAGGCCGCTGCTGCTGAAGCCGCTGCGACTGGCGAGGCAGCCGGGGAGGCTGCTGAGGGCGACGCCGTTGCAAGTGCCAGAGCGAAGGAGGACGAGAGGAAGATACTCCGGCTGGTCATCAAAGCCGATGTGAGCGGCACGGTTGAAGCGGTTGTCGGCTCGCTCGAACATATCGGAAACAAGGAGGCGGGTGTGAAGATCATCCATACGGGTGTGGGGGACGTGACAGAGTCTGATGTGGCTTTGGCGCAAGCTTCTAACGGTAGGCGAGGTTTCCACCTTGATTTTCTCATTGTCGGACTGCAACTAAGTTATTGAGATTGATGACCTGCCCAGCCACCGTGATCGGCTTCAACGTATCCGCTGCTCGATCGATCCAGACGAGCGCGCGATCGTCCAATGTTTCCCTTCAGCTTGAATCAGTCATCTACCGACTGATCGACTCTGTCCGAAGCAGCGTGGCGGGCCTACTTCCACCCAAGATCGAATACTCCGTCAAGGGAGAGGCGTCTGTCATTCAGCTATTCGAGATCAACGTCAAGCGCAAGCAGATGAAGACTATCGCCGGGTGTCGGGTGAACAACGGTATCATCGATAGGAATCAGGGCGTCAGGGTGCTGAGAGGTAAAGATGAACAAGGGGAGAGGAAGGTGATCTATGAGGGGACTATCGAGACGCTCAAGCATTTGAAGAAGGAGGTCCAGGAGGTGAGGAAGGGCATGGAGTGTGGGATTGCACTCGAAGGCTTCACAGATATCAGAGAGGGGGATGAGATTGTCAACTTCACAAAGATCGAAGTGCTGCGGGAGCTATAGGGCGACTATCCAGTCGGTCGAGGACCAGCGTAGCCCGTACGACGGAGTCAAAGTACCGAAGCACACGAATATCAATTAGAAACGGGTCTATTGATTCACATCATACACTGCATGCATCATCACCATCGCATCTCAACTCCGCATTTGCAAGCTTTCCATGAACTGTTCGTACAGTACATCTAAAATCTACATTCTATGTTGAATCTATCGACTGCCAACGAGACATGAAGCAACAGAAGGGTAAGAAGCATTCCAGTTGCAAAGCGGAACACGTATAGCGAAAGTTCTCGTCCCTAGGTTGTAATTTACGCCTTATTGACGACCCACTCCTTTAGCCAATCTTTGACATACTCTCCCGCGAAAGGTGGCGTCAGATAACTCCCGCCGACCCCACTCTCGAGCCACGCTACGGCGCCCAACCTTCCAGAGGCAAGCATGAACGCCCAGACCCAGACCCTGCCCCATACACCGCGCACCTTCCTCCCTGTAAGTCTCTTGAACTGAACTTCGAGTGCGCAACCTAGGCCCGAGAGGGGGAAGAGGACGAATATGGGAAACAGTGGCGGGGTGGGATCGAGTGTGAATTGGCCGAGCGCGTGCATGGCTCCCGAGAGGACGAATGACACGGAAAGTATCAAGGAGGAATTGATGGGCAAGTGGACGAGGCGGAGAAAGAGGGTCGAGACCAGAATGAAGTGGTGCTGGAGAGATAAAAGAATGTGGTTCCGATGAAAATCAGCATACATTCCCCAGGAGACTTGAACCAGGTACCTCGACGAGAGACCTGATAGGTCGATGATATAGGGGGAACTTTCGAAAGGCTGCATCACAAATAAGGTGACATGTCGAGCGATGCAACATCATACTCACCCTGAAGAACTGGTGCCATCTCCTTCCCCAGAACTCTAGCAGACTATCCGCCGCTAGCGGATTATCGAACAAATCCACCTCCCAGCTCTCGACCTCCCACAATCCTGACCCAACCAAGATCGCACCGAGGAAATGATATCCTGCTGCGATACCTAGCCAGACGCCCGAAGCTACGCCAACCTCTGCGAAAATTTCCGTCAACCACCAAGGGGCTACCATCAGGCCCTTCCCCAAGTTTAAGCGGGGGAAGAGCACAAATCGGTTTTCGTGCGAGAATCGATAGAACGCATTGGGGACGGGTGAAGTCGAGCCGATAGTGTCGGCGCCGAAATCACGGACGAGCGATAGAAAGGTATCAAACAGCACGTAATTTCGTAAGGCTATGAAGGCGTGTCTTCGGACCGCTTGGAATCGTGTCCGACGGATTTTGGGCCAAGGCAGCCATTTCTCCCTGTGTCGAGCATCTGGGATTGTTCGCCCGTCTATTTCGAATCCGCCATCGGGCACGTCGACGTCCTCAATCGGACTGG